ACTGCCTCCACCTGCCCATTTGCTTGCGGATGTGCGGGTGACGAGCTGAGGTGACTTATGCCAAGCTTGCTACAAAAGTCTTTGAACTTGGCGTTGTCAAACTGCTTCCCGTTGTCTGTCACAGTGGCCTGCGGTATACCAAAGCGACATATGACATTTGTCCACACGAAGGACGTGACTCTGGATTCCGTTATGTGGGAGAGCGCCTCGGCCTCGGCCCACTTTGTGAAGTAATCCACAGCAACCACAGCGAACTTGGTCTGACCCCTGCCCAAAGGGAAAGGACCAATGATATCCACCCCCCACTGCGCGAATGGCCACGGGGCCGAGATGGGGGTGAGCAGCTCGGGAGGTTGGTGGATTATGGTTCCGTAGCGTTGGCAATTGTCGCAAGTTCTAACGAACTTCTTGACGTCCTGGCTGAGGGTCGGCCAATAGTATCCTTGTCGGATCACTTTGGCCGACAGCGACCGAGCGCCTGAGTGATTGCCACACACCCCTTCGTGGATTTCTCTGAGGACGTACAGGCCCTCTTCAGGGGTTAGGCATCTCAATAGAGGTAGGGAAAAGCCTCGTCGGTACAATGCTTCACCTCGGACCACGAACCGAGCTGCTCGCCTTGCCAACTTTCTGCGCTCCTTGGGGTCTTGTGGTGAGTTGCCCCTAATGAAGTCCGCAATCGGGTCCATCCATGAGGACTCTGGAGCGCCGATCTCCATCAGATCTGGCTCTGAGATCGAGGGATTATCTAAGATCTCGACGGGGACCGACCTGGCCAGGTTGGTCTCGTACGCCGACGCTAACTTGGCCAAGGCGTCAGCATTAGAATTTTCTGCTCGGGGAACCCGGCTTACTTCGTAAGTTCGAAACTGGGCGAGGTGCGATCTGACCTTGCCCAAATACTTCTCCATTCGGGAGTCTTTGGCTTGGTACTCTTCCTTGATCTGGCTTACAACCAGCTGGGAGTCGCTGAAGACCTTAACACAAGAGGCCCCCAATGCTCTAGCGATTCGTAGGCCGGCAATAAATGCTTCATACTCAGCCTCGTTGTTAGAAGTCCGGAAACCGAACCGCAGGGCATACTCAAATCGCTCGCCTCCTGGTCCGAGCAAGAGGACCCCGGCCCCGCACCCCTTCTCATTGGAGGATCCGTCGACATAGATTGTCCACGGTAGGTCGGCCTCGCTCAGCTCGGAAGGTGGTGTGAGCTCGGCTATGAAATCTGTTGCCGCTTGTCCTTTCAACGCAGTTCTGGGTTCGAACTGGATGTCGTACTCACTTAGCTCCATTGCCCACTTCATCAGGCGTCCAGAAGCTTCTGG